TGCTGTGAAATTTTTAGAATTCCCTAGATCAGATTAGGCCCAAAAACGGCGAAAATGCAACTTTGCACCAAGCATGCATTTGACCCCAAATGTATTTTTAGGCTAAAAAAAATATGCACACAAACGTAATAAGTGATTTTGAGCATGCAGGAATGGTCCGCGGCTCCCGAAAACGGCCGATACAAAATCCGACCCCCCGACGGCCAAAAAGACGAATATACACATGAAATGAAAATTTTGAAATTCAAAATTATGAAATGTTTTCAAATTACCGTTTTGGCCCTTGGCCACACTTCATACATGATTAATGAGACCCTATAAAAGAATAAAAATGGAATTCTCACACCCGACACAACCATAGTCAAACAATAACTTGTCATTTTTCAATATTTTCATATTATTTCATGAAGTCAAAAGTTACATGGGATACAAAATAATTGTCATTCGCCTCCGGCCTCTGGCCTCATCTAATACATATCAAATACATTATAAAAAGTGTACTTATATACACGTTACATAAATGGAATCAAAGATACAAGTTTTGACATATAAAGCTACAAAATGACATTTCATGCTAATATTTGCATAAAATGTAAAATTAAAAGTTACAAGTCACCCAAGGAATAATGTGCATCTCGAACCAAGGCACCTGTACCTAAAAAATCACCCGATAACTTTAGGGTGAGTAAACAAGTTACTCGTAGGGAATGAGCATGCATGGACCTTGCATTTTACAATAACATTACCTTAGGGTGAAACATGTTAAAGGAACTCATGCCACCTAACGTCTATATCAAAGTAAGTCTCAGGGATCAACCTAAGTTACATAAACAATTGAAATGAAATACACAAAGCAAGTATACGAGACACGAGTATACTAAATGGAATCTAGATACAAGAAACAAGTGTACAGTTTCAAGTATGCTAAATGAGATCTAAATACACGAAGTAAGCATAATGTCTATGCAATTAAACAAGGTCGGAAATACTCCATATAACACAACAAGGTTCTTAGACTTTCAAGAGATAACACTTGAAATCTAAGAGTTTAAAGATTTTACATGTTAATAAAAATCATTACATGTGATCCATGCTACCTAGAATCTAAGTCAAGTTACATGAATAGGATCATTCCTAAGTCACGATAGCATAAAGTAACATGAAACGAGATAATAAAGAAAATAACAAGATTGAAACAATTCAATTAACACGACAAGGACAAGGCATGAAATCAAGGATAATGCATAATATCTATGCAATTAAACAAGGTCGGAACATTTCCCATAACACGAAAAGTTTCATAAATCTCCAAGGAATGCAACACTTGAAATTTAAAGAGTGAGATCCGAGGTGAAGCATAAAGTTTATGCAATTAAACAAGGTTGTTATATTCCATAAAATACGAAAATGTCTTAAATCTTCAAGGAATAAAACACTTGAAATTTAAGGAGTGAAATCAAATATGAAGCATAAAATCTATGCAATGCAATAAGGTAGGAATATTCCATAAAACATGAAAAGATCTTAAATCTTCAAGGAGTACAACACTTGAAATTTAAGGAGTGAAATCAAGGATAAAGCATAATGTCTATGTAATTTAAACAAGGTTGGATCATTCCATATAACGCGAAAGAGTTTTAAATCTTCAAGGAATACAACACTTGAAATTTAAGGATGAAATCAATGACATGAAAAGGTTCTTAAGTCTTCAAGGAATGGACACTTGAAACTTAAGGATGAAATCAAACAATGTAGATACTCGGATATCGCCCGGATTAAAACCGTACTCTTGGGATCACTTTAGGGCTACTAACCTATGGGTACCTTCCCCTAGTGCGCACTATAATATAGGGAGCTCTCTATCTCCTGTACTAGAACCAAGTCCTAGCCATGTCAATTCTTGATTGATATCCCAAGTTCCAAAATCAACAAGTTATGCAATCAAGAGTATATTAAGATACAATCAATGCATTAAACCACATTCCATGCACAACCAAGATTTGGAACACACGAGTCATGTCCAAAGTCTTCAATTATCATGGCATGTGAAATGTCAAGTAATCATAGTATACATCAATATTGACTACAAATTAGTATTTATAGCACAAGGAACCCATTGATGTAAATATACCACTAGTATAAGATTAATGATTTAATTATTTATTTAACAACACTTGAACAATTAAATCATTCCAATATAAAGGTGCAAGTTCATTAACTACATTAATGAAGCTAAGTTGCAATAAGTCATGATACATTATAAAAAGGTAAAAGCCCCATGAAATAAATGTCCAAATTGTTAAAACACTAAATAGAAATTAATTAACCTAATTAATTAATTTCTCTAGAAATCAAAGTTGTCCAAAACTTCTCAAAATAACATATGTGAAAGATCATTCCATAGTCATTGCATATATCACATCAATTTCACAAAGTAAGCAAGATAACATCATGTGGAATTTAATTAATTTAAATTAATTAAATCTTTAGATTTCAAAATTAAGTTAAATGATCCCAAATTAATATATAACAAGGATTAAGTCATGGCCATGCCATATATCAAGTCTAAAATGGAATACAAGCAAAGTACAATTAAATAGAATTTAAATCAAATTAGATTCATTAAATCTCTAGATTTGAAATCTCATTTAAATTATCCCAAATTAACATATAACAAAGATCGAGTCATAGCCATGCCATATATGAAGTCTAAAGTGAGTTATATGCAAGATACAATTAATTATTAATTTCTCAAGTTAATATAAAATATGCATACAACTTATATTTTATTACAAAAGCAAGTAAAACCCTTAGATAATAAACTAGAACACCCACTACCTCACAAGAGAATTGTTCCTCTTCAATCCAAGGAAAGCAAAGGAATTTCAAGTTTTCCTTCTAGGGTTATATAGAGGAGGATGAGGGGACCAAAAAGTATTTCCAAGGTTAAGCTTAGAAATCAATGGAAAGTTCTCAAAAATCAAAGTCAAAGCTTCAGGCTTTAAGCTTCATCCATGGAGGCTAGGGTTTTTTCAAGAGAGGGATAAGATAAAGTGGTGAAGATGAATTGTGAGTGGAGGATATAGAGATCCTCCACTCACTATGTGAACTAGCACCATGGTCAACAAACAGAACTTTGGTCAATTGCACAAAAACCCTTCTTTGAAACCATGATCCCAAAGTAGCCCAAAAATAATTGCAAGTAGGTCCCCCCTCTAAATATCTTACAAACTTAATTGCAACATGGTCCTTAAGACAAAAATAATTACTTTAAGTAATTACGCAAGTAACCTCAAAAACAAGAAAGTTTCCAAAGAAAGTGTGCATCCACACCTTCAAGGAGAAAGTGCACTAATGGCGTGCATTTCTAGGAGAGTAAAAATACACGTTTCTAAAAAATCATATATCATGAGTGCATGCAAAAGTGGAAGCAAAACCGAACACGAAAAATGAGGTTGTGCCAACAAAGTGACAAACGAAAAAAAGACAAAAGGTGAAAAGTGTCAAAAAAAAATAAAAATGTGGAAATGACTTTGTCCTTAAAAGAAGTTGTCAATCCAAAGGAAAGAGTCTCAGAAACCATTTTTGAGCACTCGAGACGACACTAAGTGATGAGAAACTGAACTCAGAAAAGAAAATTTAACTGAAAAAATTTATCCGTAAAATTTGAGAAAAAAGAAAGAGAAAAAATGACCGGGTCATTACATTTACAAAGAATCCATGGGAGATAGATCTTTTTTAGAGAGAGCAGAATAAGTGAGAGTTGTAGAGAGAAAGAGGGGGGAGGTGAAGAAGAAAGAGAATTATTGTAATTTTATTTTATTTTTTAAAAATACTATTTTTAGTTTCTAATTTAACATTAAATAGCAAGGTCAAATTCGACACTTCACATTCCTGTTAACGGGTCCGATATGGATATTGGGGCAATGTGATCCCTTTTTAAAGTGTAGGGGATTTCTGAAATAGATTGATGGTTTATGATCAAAATTTGAAAATAGTGGAGGGTTTTTTGGTATTAGCCCTAATTTCTAATTATAATTAACATTTTTAAAGCTGCATATTGTAGAGATTTCATTTTATTTTTTATTTTCTTTTCCGAATTTGTATCTGAAATACTATAGGAAACAATATGCAGAGAGATGAAAAAGAGCCATTTGAACAAATGAGAGGTCTCGAAATGGTGCGTTTAACAGGTTCGGTGGGGCAGAGTCTCGCATTTGAAATTTCGAAGGGAGGAATTGTCATGGCAAAAATTCAAGTTGGCGAAGCATGTTCATAAATTAATAACTTGTTAAAGACAGACTGCCTCATAAATTAATATAACCTAAATTAATATAACTTGTTAAAGACAGACTGCCTCAGCTCCATTCAGTACTTGATGTGCCATAGATCAAATGGAAATACAATAACACTAAGGCTATGTTTGTTTAGACGTAAAATATTTTTCAAAAAATATTATTTTATTTTTTAGTGTTTAGTTGTCGTAAAACATTTACGAAGAAAACAAATATTAAAATTTAACAAAAACAAAAACAACCTATCCATCAATTTTCAACAAATTATTTTACATGACCCGCCCGATGAACTTAACCTCAATCTCAACGTAAACATTTACCAAACATTGACAATAAAAATAAAAAAATATTTCACGCCGAAACAAATGGAAACGAACCTAGAAGGAATTGATATGAGCTAAAGTATAATTAAGAAAGAGAGATACTGAGTAGCGGTGTGAAGACTCAAACCACAGAAATAACATGATGTAATTTCCAAGCAATACGGTGATCCGTTAGCCTCGTTTGTATACGGTTTTGTAAACATGTGTTTTATGTATATATATATATAGTAGTGCAGTACAATAGTTAACCCTAATGCATTTGCCTCAAATGAAGATCACACTTTCTTGTTTCTACTAATGTTAGTCACATCACCATATTTTTTTTCTTTCTTTGGATAAGTCGGCTACATACATCACCTTTAAATACAACATACATCACCAATAACAAAAAAAAAAAATTAAAATATATCAAATTATGAACTTGCCAAGATAACAATGGACAAGTGACCTAACGGTATCAGCCTCTTACCTCCCAAAGGGAGATCAAGAGTTCAAGTCTCGGAAGAGACGTGTATGATTACGAACTAAGAAAAAAAACAAACTTGCACAAGGTGGGAAAAATAAAAATAACAATGCTCCTTTACCCTTTCTTATGTGGCTAATAAAAGTATATCATCGTGTTGCCATAATACTACTAGCCATGTTAATATTTTCTTTCCCCAACTTCACTATTTCCTTAATTTTTAAAAAAGAGAAAGGAATCACTATTTCATTCCTAATTAGATTTGCTTAATTAGATTTGCTTAAATCGTGTGAAGCAACAAGAATGTTTCGCTTTGAACAATCGAGGACGTGCCTCTGCCACCGTACAAACACTAGAGCATTCTTCATCACTTCAATTTCATTGCCGCAAAAGATGTTGCCACGTCAATCGCTTCCTCTATGTGTGATATATCAGTTCCCTGAAATAAAAGAAAGGAAAAGATTCATCAACAAACTAAAGAATGCAAAGTAAGATGGGACCAAACTTTAAAATGAAGCAACTATTATTGACCCAAAAAATTAATGAGACTCAAAGGTACCCTAGTTGTAATGCACAAATTGTATCACGTAAAAAAGATAAGAAAGCAAGATTCAATTGTATTATGTATTTAGACGATAAGAAAGTAAATTAGGGATCCACGCAATTTATTTTCAAATCTTGTTGACTATCTAAATTGACCAGAGATTTCATATATCCTAGACTTTCAATTCACTTTTAGATTTTTGCAATTTGAACATCTAATTTTTCATGTAATTTAATTAGGTGTTTCATTTATGTTTGATTATTCCAATTGATTTGAGATTTTTAGCATTCTAGATTACGATTTTTACAGTCCATCATAACTATAATTATTACAGTTTTAAACTTAGATGCTTGGTAATGTATGTAGCAATTAAATTGTTGTAGATTGGTGGCGTGGAAGCAGATTTTGCTACATGCATATCGTGTGTGTATATGTACCTATTTACCACCTCTCTATGTCTATTCTTCGTGTTCGAATTCTTAACTGGGTTCTGTTTGTGTCATTCTCAGATTCTTTGGACCATATCTAATCACACCCCTTTAGGATGGCAATTGTGAGGCCTCAAGATTAAAGATGGTTTATATTAGTTGGCCCTTAATTAATCCTCGAATGATCTTTCCAATTGAATGAAAATACTTGAGATTTTATCAAGGAAGATTGCATAAAATTGCAAGTTGATTAACCGAACAGAGACCTGGATCTATTGAACATTTTGGTGTATTTTATCTGAGGTTTCTCTGGTCCCATCCCTTACTCAAAGCTAGTAAACCTTATCCACTTTTTCACTTGAAAGAGGGGATCCAAGGTTTTGATAGATCGATCCAACTGTTGACGACTTCAATGAGTTTCCATATTTCCCATTCTAAATTAAATACCACATTTACTTAATTAGTATCCAATTGTTACAAACGTTATACATTGATACTTTTTGTCCATATAGAGGCTAGAGAGCACAAACGATATAGCCTATCCTTCACATAGCCTTAATTATGTTTTGCATATTTATATGCTCTGATTTTCTAGTTGCACCATATTGTTGAATACATAGAACAACCACCTACTGCATATGCCATAACCCCCAATACATTTCACTTGGGAGTTGGGACTAAGGTAAAATAATGTTGATTCGGATTATGGTTGACGAGCTGTGAGAAATCAGATCACGGATTCAGTTCAGATGTGGAAAGCAATGGCCGAGGATTTGTGGATTTGAGGTTGCTTAGTCAGAGGCAATGATATGCATTGTACATGTGAAGCAGTGGCCGAGGAATTCTGGAGTTGAATCTTCTTGTTCGATGGGTAACACTGCAACGGTAATTCTCAAAGCACTAGCTAGCGGACTAGGTCCAGTAGTTTCTCCGTTTCAGGAATTCCCCATAATTAGTGGCGTGCCTTTATTCTGTGCTATGTAGCATGGACATGGACACAAGACATGGACGTCACGACACAGATACGACACACCAAATTTTTAAAAAGTAGGACACATATACGACTTGGACACAATTTTATATAGGATATACATTTTTTTTTTTTTATATACATGTATAGATTAATAGTATTATAAAACTTTAATTCATTCCTAATTTTTATACTAAGAGTTGTAATGACTTTTATATCATATATATATATACAAAATTATTCCACTACTTAGTCATAATAATGTTTTTATTTTAAATGAATAAATATCATTTAATACTTCGCTTGTGATCATATGTGTATAATGTCAATTTTTCTTACAGAAAAAAGTTGAACACTTTAGAATGTGTTCATATTATTTTCAAGATTATCGGATAGGCTTGTATTAGAAATGTTTAAAAGTGTCGGCTTAAGCGTGCCTAAGTGTCCAAGAGGTGTCGGCGAAGTGTCGGGAAAGTCTCCAAAATAATAAAAATTTATTTTTATTTACGGACAAGTATATGAAGTGTCGGACACGTGTCCGAGGAGTGCCCATCACGGACATGACATGGGTAGGGCTCCTTCGTAGAAGTGCCCGTGCTTTATAGATTCTGTGTGTGATCAACTGTCTGATTTTTATATAAATTTTTAATTTGGTATAAGCAATATAATGGAGCTATTTACCTCTCTCTTAAGGTCCTGTGATTCCATAGCCTCGTTTTTGTCAGAAGCTCTAACAAAACTCTCTCTCTATGACAATCCAAAGATATAATTGTTGAATCCTCCCCCATGGATAACTTCTAGTCTTCTATTCATTTATAGCTTGTGTAGTAGCTTCTCATTTTCATACGCCGTTCAAATCTGTTGCCTCCATGCTGGTGATTTTTAGAAATATACTTTTAATTTTCATATTTGTGTGTGTATGTATGTTACTGGGACCCTTGTAACAAATTTTACCAGCCACTTGCTCTAAAAATAGGTTCATAGAGATGTTGCAGGGCTCAAATTCAATACAGTAAAGCATGAAAAATAGTAATATCCGAAAATGCCTTGGATCAGTAATCACAAGAAAATTTCTAACCTGGCCTTGAGCAAGACCGCCTTTTCCTCCTCCACCCTTTCCTTTTAGAGGCTTTAAAGATGCGACTAACCATTCCAACACTTTCAAATGCTTGCACTTCTCTCCTTTCTCTGGTACCCCAGCACACACAAGAGCCTTCTGTGCAGTTTCATCTGTGCTGAAAACCATAACAGCCATCCCCTGTCCATCCACCGAGCATACAGTGAGGGGAAAACTCATAGACATAAGATCACATTAGAAAGAATGTAGCACCAAGTTAGTCAACTGGGAAGCTAAAAGCAGCTAACAACCTTCTGCTCCATTACTGTAACAACTGCTTCGCGGATTGCAGCAGTGTCTGAACCAACATTCACATGTGAGATGCAGAAGGCCTTTTCATCAGAAGCAGCAACTTCTGCCATCTGAATTGCAACCTTGACAGCTTTCTGTATATTCTCTTCAGCAATCTTCTTTTTCGCTTTTATTACCTGATTCTGATGAAATAAAGTAACTTACTATCATAATGTACCCAAAGGCAGAGACTATTCATAAGTCGGAGATGAGATATTTTCCGGTTCAGCACAAGTACAATACCTGAAGCACAGAAATTTTGGCCTTAAGATCGGCTTTCTTGGCTGCAGGAATAGGAGCTGATTCCACGCGACCATTTAACGAAGTTACTTTCTGGAAAGAGAAAAAGGAAATTTAGCTGACTGAATAGCATACCAGAGCATAAAACTTCCAAATTTAACAAATGATAATACCTTAAATAAACAATTAGGTTCTGTTTAGAATTCAAGAAAACAAAATTCCTAGGAACAATTGTTGATAATTTACATAACCAACCTGTTTACAGCACAAAGATTCTAATTTTTTATAGCAATTCCATAAGAGAAGTGGCTACACTAGATTATGCAACGTGTTGCTCAAGGTAGAGACCCTAAAATTTACTAATTTATGCTTAGGATTCATGTTTGTATTGAACCTGACAAGTTTTACGTTGGATTTAAGGCTACCTTACACAACCCTCCTTTTCTCACGCTTGGGACTAGCTTTGTAAAGGTAAGGTACTAAACATGACACAGGCGGTTGAATGAAAAGGTGAGTGAGTACAGAGTGGAAAGTATAAAGAGAGGCACTGAGAAGGGGAATATTAACTGGGTAAAGTAGATGTGCAAAATCAGACAATGAAAGCATTGTTTATAAGAAGTTGGTGCTAGTAGTAAATGCAATAGAAAAAGACACAGTAGGCTGACTCCAGAAAAGGAAAACTAAAAAAGAATATATGTCCTAAACAAAGCCAGTTTTGAAACAAGCGATTTAGTTTCCTAAATAATAAATTACATAAGTGATATTTATTAACAAAATGTTATAAAATCAGAACCAACCTGTTCCAGCAAGCTTCCTTCTGCCTTGGATGCCTCGTTTATTTCCTGCTCAAGAGAGAATGCAACTTCCATGGCCTTAGAAGCACAATCTGTTGTAACAGCAGTTACTCTACGGATTCCCTTAGCAATTCCCTCCTCAGATAAAAGAGCAAATGCCTTGGCCTCTCGTGTATTTGATATGTGGGTCCCTAAACAGATCCAGAACTTCAGCTTCAATTTAAATTTACTGGAAAAGGTCCAATAAGAGGCATCAGAGTTATAAGAAAAAATATACCTCCACAAAGCTCTGCTGAAATTGAAAACCACTCTTCATTTTCTGGATCAGCCAAAAGATCCTCCACTTTTCGACCAACTGAAACCACCCTGACTGGGTCAGGATAGACCTACATCAAAAACAGAAAAAAATAAATATATTGAAGAAAGCTTGTAACTGAGCACAGTTCTGCTATTTGTTGTGTCTAAACTCATAACCAACTCCAAAATACAATGATGACAGAACTGAAGCAGCTTACTTCTCCAAAAACAGCTCGTAAACCATTTATACGCTTAGCATCAGCCAATGTTACCTCCTTCCCAAATACATCCAGTTCAGCTTTGATTTGATCATTAACGATGCACTCAATTTTTCTCAATTCATCAGGTTTGACAGGCTTGCCTGTTCAAATTTCAGAAGAATTCAAAATTGATTTTCGCCAAAACCCTAATCTAATTATAAATAACTTACCGTGAGAGAAATCAAATCTCAATTTTTCAGGAAGGACTATGGATCCCTTCTGATCAACATGATTACCAAGTACTTCCTGCATTCATTTTAAGAGTATTTATAGAACCAATCCACAAACGAATCAATAAAGAATACAATATCATTTTGGAATTACCCTGAGGGCAAAATTCAACATGTGTGTACAGGTGTGGTTAGGAGCAATGAGCTTACGCCTCTCATAGTCAACCTGCAAAAGTCATTGCAGAAGCAACTACAGTTTCAAGCAAACATAGCTTATATTTAGGCAACTAGTACATAATGTAAGCACGTATTGAAGCAAAAGTCTAGTATTAGAAGGAATTTTACCTTACAAGTTACTTTATCACCCACAACGAACCTGCCAGACTCACCAGCAAAAGAACCAATATGAACAACGAAGCCTCCATAAATTTGAACATTACTAACTTGAAATGATCCAAAGGGGGCTTCGAGTGATCCAGTATCAAATATCTATAACCCCACAAACCATGTCAGATATAAACAACTTTTCTAAAAAAGAAAAAAGATGCGCATCATTATTTAAATAAACTTTGGAAATTGTATGGCAGGACTCCAAACCTAAAAACATTAAAACATATTCTTTCAACTAGCATTATGTAAAATGAATTAGATGATTCAAACAGTGGGAATTATTCAATAATAACACAATTTATTTGAGACTCCAATTTGTCTATTAAGAGAACAAAATAAACAAATGTGGTGACACTGGTTCAACAGTGAACAAGTTCTACAATCAAGGATAATAAGTGTGATGTGCTTGTACATATGGCTCCATTCCCAAGTTCCAAGTCAAAAATTAAAGTTTGTAAAATTCATCTTCAGTAGCAAGTTCTAACTGTTTCTAATACAAGGTTATAGAAGTTAGGCTTCCTTAATCTCAGAAAACATGAAATCACTTTACATTCTAACTGCAGAAGAGGGAAGATCTTTCTCAGCAGAGGAAATGGAACAAAGCAATTGGCTAAAGCATTTTACATGACTTAAATCATTGTTTTGAACGCAAGATCGCACTCAAAATTCAATTATGACCATTCGAATTTTACACCTTAAAGTATTTCTGAACAGTTGGTATGATTTTAAAACAATTTCAGTTAAAACATTTCTTGAAAACCACCAAATTGTTCACATATCATATCTATTGTGAATATCCAAGTGTATCTTAACTCTCATATCATGAAATTGATGTATACAATAAAGAAAATTCAGATGCAAGGATTCAACAAACAAAATATTCAAGATGTTTATATTATGTGCCAGAAAATGTTAAAATCTAAGCCTTGATTTCGGGATAAAAAAAAAAAAAAAAAATTGCAGTTTTTCCACAATATAAGTTGGCAAGTAAACGCACCAAACCCAAATAACTGATTCAATTTTTTATTTTTTTTTGCTGTCTCATCATTAGAAGGATTCAACTCCTCGCAAAATAAAATCATGTCTTTCCTCGAGAATAAAGTAACTCCAACATTCTCCACCTTAAAAACTTTGAAACAGTGAAATATCTTACTATTTCTAACAGCATTTTCACCTTCAAACCAATAAAGAAATTATCAAGATTGTGGTAGGGAGAGCTAGTAGCACCATAAAAGAAATTTTCACAGGTCCAGAGCACACTACAATTTCTTTGTTACTGGGTTTACATATATTTCTTTGTTACCTGAAACTTAAGTCACTGAGTTTTCCAATTTTCAGTATTTAAAAATGAATTTAAGAAATTATCTTTGTACATGTGCATACATCGTAATTCAATGGAAAGAGACGTTTACTAAAGATAAATATAAGATAGTACTTTCACAAGCAGAATTCTTGTAGGAAGCAGTAAGAAAAATATTGGCATAGAAGTTACTTCTCAACCAAAGAAAGCTGATTGTGTTAAACCACCTTCTATTTGAGATAATTCACCAACTACGAAAAGCTCCCAGTTTTATGATTGCACAGTACTATTATCTAAAACCCAATAAACCAGAAAAATACAACTTCTAATAAAATCCTAGCCACTTTCTAAACACAATACATTCATGATAACAAATGGATATCATATCATTTAGGTCAAAACATCTTAGTTGAAAAGGCCTAGGGTAAAAGCTTAAGTGCTGATGACAATATGACCAAACTAATCATGTCACAGCGCGCAAGGTACCTGACCACCTTGCTCAGCATAAAAACTTGTAGTTTCCAGTATAATACCAACTTCGTTGCCAGCAGCAGCACTTTCCAAGAACTCCGTTCCTGTGTAAATAGCTTTTATCACACTCTCGTGATCCTGAAACAATAAGTAAAGTGTGAAGAACATCAATATGAAGTAATCCATTACAAAAATATGGAGCATATCAAGTCAGTTATGTCAGCCTTGCAAAAGTTCCCTTCCTTTCAACTGATCGGAAATTTCCTATTTTTGATATGTCTTAATGTAGAAAATTGATCATAGAATTGGATTACATAGAAGTTTTTGATTCAAGAGGAAAAATTGAAGATGAAGGTGAATATGGAAAGCAACTTAATTTAGAGCAACCAGGTCTACAAAGTACCAGCAAGGATGTTATCAATTTCCAATGATTAGGACTACTACCTACATCCATTTTTCATTCAAAAGAAAGATCCTTTTAAGATTAAAAAAGACGTAAATATATAAATATATATATATATATATATATATATCAGGACAAGATTACTGACAAATCCGAAAGCAACACAGTTAGCGGAAAAAATCACAAAACTGGTTCAGGTTGTGGCATGTTGGCTTACGGCTTCAAAACCCTAAACCACAATTCCAAGGTTCTAGAACGTATGCAAAAAAAAAAATTCAGTTGAATTACTTTTTTATTATTGCTCTGAGATATAGCTTTTGACGAGTTCTCGAGACACAGCTGACTTTGCCACTACTACACTATTTATATGTAGTAACAGTTTTACTATCATGTCGCAAATAATGTTAGGGTCCACAAAATAAGGATGCATGCAGACAAGGGAGATGATGTTCAATCTTGCCCCCACTCTTCCTCCCCCCCCCCCCCCCCCCCAATATATATATATATATATATATATATATATATATTCATTGTTCCCATCAAAGTTCCTAAACAAAGACGATATTATAAGCTTTTATCCATCATCCAATGTCCTACATAGCATGACCAGTTTCCTAACAACATGATTTTTTATGGGTCAAAGAGTTAACCATTTGACAAACACCACAACTCTAAAGTGGGTCCCCATTAATCAACACTATTAGGTAGAGACCTAACATTTAGCAATCGTTGCACAACATAAGTATCCTTAAACTCAAACCTCGATTTTCACGCTTAGCAACCTAAGCTTTTACCGTCACACAAGCATATAATTCATTAAACTAAGATTAAGGCTGACCTGAAACCATGTAAACTTGCAAGTGTCATTTGTAGCAGCAACCCTTCTCTTGTGCAATATAGAGGTGGCATCAGCATCCATGACGATTGTACCACCAGCTTGCTGCAAAGAAATAATTTTAGTACGTTATATGACATTGAAATTCACAAATTCATGTAGAAGACTCTCTCTCTCTCTCTCTCTCTCTCCCCCTCTCTCTCAATCGATATATATACATATAGATAATTACAAAGGACACTCTCAATCAATATATATATGATTAAAAAGGGGTGTATAACCATGACTTCATGTTATGATAGATATAAAATGAAAAAGAAAAGCCAAGGTAAAAACCTGCTACCTTATTCTGAGCATTCCTTGATCTTTCCCTTGCCTCATTCATAGCAATATTAAAACCCTCAACATCAACTACCAAGCCTCTTTCTTCCGCCATCAACTGGTAGAAAAAAGCCATGAGGAGTTGAATTTATACAACACAGTATTAAAAGTAAACAAAGTAGTAGTCCATGCACCTGAGTCAGATCTAGTGGAAAGCCATATGTGTCCCACAAGACAAAAGCATCCTGCAACCAAGCAGATACTAACGTCAACTAATCAAATCTAAATTTCATACAATCCCAGAAATTAATAAAACTGCCTCATCTTGGCACATAGGTAATGACAACCTTCCTTGCCAAGCAAGAGTGGGGAGCACAGGAATTAAACCTACATGTTGTCCCACTGGCTATAGCCTACATTTCTTTGGCCAACAGATTTCTTGACATAAAAAATAATAATAATAATAATAATAAAGAAGTCTCGTTTGCTCAATTTTAAAATTTTGTTAAGACTCCTAACCAATTACCAAGCACCATACAAACATAAAAATTACAGAAATATAAAGAGCAAGAGAGAAAGACCCTGCAATTTTTAAAATTGGGGGAAAACACAGAAACTAATTACAAGAATTGTGATTGATTTAAATTGGACACTCAGTGCCCCTCACTTCCAGTGCCTTTGGAATTACCAGCCACACTGATTCAGGCCAATGCAATCACCACGTGATGATCCGCTTATCAAAGTGGTAGTCTAGACAATTCTTCTTGTTGAACGATTTTGGATTCTACTAAGGCAGCTTGATCAACTAATGAATTCAAGTGGCTTGACTTCAAAGAGAACTCACACAAACTAATCACTCAATGTACATGTGAAAAAGCTCAAGGCTGCAGAAAAAATCTCTGGAAATAGACCAACCAAATATAAAACTTGTGAAAGAAATTTGAGAGCTAAATCAGATTGGAAAGTTAGAAAAATTTTAGGATATATTCCTCAGTTTGGTAGCAATCCAAGTTGATGTCAAACTAAAAAACACAAATCCCTTTCCAATTCAAGGTCCATGTACCAGTGCAGAGGAAACATGCGCTGGTACATGTTTTACTACCAAAATGTGTACAAGTGCAAGTACTGTTTGTATCAGGGCACTATGAGTCTATGACTACTGGAGGAATCTGTATCAGGACATACAAAAAGTGTACCGATATATTTAACTTTAAAAAGATTCCCAGCATCGAAAGAGCATACTAGTATAGATAAATGCACCATTTCATCATAGAACCAATTGTGCACAGAGTGTTCATATGAATACAAAAAAGACAAATGTAACTCATTGTGGGGAAAAAAGGAAAAGAGAAAAGAATTCAAGGTGAAAAAAGGGTTGCCTACAGAATGATGGTTATAAAGACAAGTGCCTTTAACTAATCCTTGTCCACAAATAAGATGTACACCAAACTAAATCAGCATAATCCTAAACCACAAGGTGTTATATGACTGCCTGAACTTGTAAGCAAGCCTCACAAACAACACCAAAAAACCTTTGTCTCAAACACTTCAAATTCACGGCACAATTCCACATAATGCAAGATTCATATAGCTCAGCTCAACAAAACCATTACACAACACAATGAAAATTTTATCTATAAAAAAATAATCTAAACTCAAGACTTTTTATGGCATCCATTAAGAGTTTCTTGAAGCTTTTACGGGATCTCAAACTGAGAAAACAGAAACTGGTTGCACAAGCCGTACAAAAAAAAAAAACAAAAAAAAAACAAAAAAAAAAAAAAAAAAAAAACGAAACAAAACAAAACAAAAAAAAAAGGGAAAAACTATGTATCTCTTTAGCCTTTCCAATGTGACACTATTTTGGAGGCTAAGGTTACATTAAGGAAACTGCATGGCAACTGAAATACCAAGGTGTGCATGCTTTCTCACAGAAAGGGAAACTAATGCTGTTGCATCTTTGAAATTCTACTTGGCATTAACAAATGCACATCCCATGAAAGCAAATGCATAGTCAAATGAATCTTGTACGCAATTATAGAACAGATCCACTAGCACAAATTCTCAAATGTCAAAATTGATTCAAAAATTATTGCATGGTAGAATGCTTAAAATACGATACAATAAGAGATCAGACACAAAATTTGGTGAGAGAAAAAAATTTCTTCCTAATTTATTTTTTATTTTTCTTATTGAATAACTAATATTGAATGTACAGTAGAGAAGAAATAAATTAAAAAAAAAAAAAAAAAAAACACTACGTTCTTGCCTGTCCACTGAATATCCTCCCCTGAACATCTTGAGCAGTCCTCTTAAATTTTTCAATTCCCTGAAGACAGGTGACAACTCAATCCAAGTAATAATCAAGAAATGTTCTGTAGTTATCAGACAAAATCCCTTACAAGACATGTAAACAGTATTTACACAAAGTTAAGAACAAAGAGTCTCACATCAGGAAAGCAAACTTTAGGTAAACACCCCATGAGGAAGTAACAAAGAATAAAGAGAATTATACAAGCATACATACATATATTTGATCCTTTTCACTTCTAGATTAAGTGATTTAATCAATTACATCTAGAATAAGCAAAGTTATAAAATTCAGAGGGATAATTTTTGATAAAGTTTTATGGATTATTTAATATAATGAATTAAACAAGACGTCGGAGCATTGACAGTGCCTAAGAAACAATTATTTTATGCTGCTGACACTCTTTTGATTGTTTAGCCAGGCATCAATATGCATAGCAAAGAGCTGAGTTTCAACTATGTCCTTCCTCCATAAAAGAGAAATTAAGTTCTTAATGATGCATGATATTCTACAAAATCTCATCCAACACCATTGGTTCCCTCTACTAGGCCATCTACATAATATAAATAAGTGCCAGCAACTTAAAGGCTTGCACCCCCTGCAACTCTCTGAGCTTGCCATCTGACCACTGCAATCAACTCCCAGAACCTCCCATTAAGACTCCCACCCAGCTCAAGAAAATTGAGGCTGCAACCGGAGCTTCTTTTCGTCAAAAGTGGTAGATGCTTCAGGTTCATCATCCTCTAATCTCCTCTACGGTACTAACCTCATCTGAAGTGTCACCATCAAAAGACCTCGGTACCTTGTTCTGAAGACCTCAGCACCTAGTACTGAAAGTGTGCAACAATTCTCCTAGCAAGCCTACATCGGCAGTGAGGAGGCTAGAATAACTCAGTGCAACTCTATCCTGACCACTCCCTCCCCCCCTCTTAAAAAACCAAAACCACTGACAGAGTCCATACCTGCCAATTCCACCCCCTTTTGCAACCACCTCCCTTTCAGAATGGCAGCCCTATCTTTACCCCTGAATTCTTCAGAACAGGCTTAGCTGGATGACAGCACACACCCTAAGTTGTCTTCTTCCGGTAGCCTCTGTTGCAACTGATCTTCGCCCCCCTTCGATGCTTCTCCAACTCTAGTTGCACAATGTGAGTCCATAGACATCCCAGATCAAATGAACTCAACTTGCTCCATCAATATAAATTGGTCTGTGCTAGCTTGGGAATAACTGGTGCTAAGGTACTAGGATTGCCCACTGCCGGCCTTCAATTTTCACATCCATTTGCTATTGAGTCTAAGCCGAGCTGATGAATAGCAGCCTAGGCCCCAAGAGGATAGCCTTGGGCCTTTAAAACCCTTCTCTGACCTAATCCATCAAAAACATCTCAATCGGCCACTTCCCTTTTTCAGTCTACATGAATCCTTGTCTCTTACTTCTTAGGTTGGGCCCATGACTAGGGCAGCTAAATTATAAATTGCACAATCCTTAATCTCATGTAGGGGTGGCAATTTAAGCCCAAACCCATTAAACCGCCCAAGCCCACACACTAAAATTAAATCAATTGGGTACCCATACTTGAGTGAGTGGGTCAATAATGGGTAAAAAGTGGGTACTCTATACAGACACAGATATCAGTCCTCTATACAAAGAATTTGGTCCACGTCAGAGAAGACAAAATGGAAGCAATCAGTGCAGGTATGACCGGTCCAAGCACGAAAGAGATGATTTTCCGCCACGATAAGTGCCGTTGTACTGCAAACACATTTGAGCCTTCTCTGCTCCTGTCTCATCGAGTGACAGATCTATTTCTGCAATTCGGACCATTCAGGGCAGATCGTCTCACCATGGTAATCGATTGTCTCGCACCGACAAACAGAAGTGGATCACTCGATCTACTTCATCTATTGGCCCAGGTTTGTCCTCTGTTACTCAACTTCGGAGCCATCCTCTCGCTCCTCCTTCTTCTTCTACTCCTTCTTGTGGGGTGTTGAGGAGTGGTGTTGAGATGGAGAAGGGATGTGTGTTACCGGATCTGCCAACGGTGCCTGAAGTTGAGTCCGGGATATGTTCAAATGTGACGGATGACTACGGGCCTGCTTTTCCTGGGTATGATGACCCAGATGCGTGTGCTGTAAAGGAACCGTCTGAGGGGGTTACGGTTTGTGTGGGGTGTGATCTCCACCTTCAGTTGACCAATGACTCTACAACCTGTGTTGAAACAGGTGATTGCAGAGGCTTGGTCAACAAGGGTTAATGGTGATCCTATTGTTAAGGTTGTCCAAAAGCTAAGGGCAGTTAAAAAAGCTGTCAGAGTTTGGAATACAACCAAATTTGGTTCAGTATATGAGCATCTTATCTCAGCTAGGACTAATCTGGAGGAATGTCAAGTTGCATTATCTAATGATCCAATGTGTGCAGAGAGAATCCATAGTGAAGAAGAGGCTAGGAGGAATTATGAACATGCTTTGTCTAATGAAGAGATCTTGGTTTCTCAAAAGGCTCGAATCAAATGGAAAAAGGACCTTGATAGAAGCTCAAAATTTTTTTATCAGAAAATCAAGGCTCACAGAGGTAACAATAATATTACAGGTCTTACACAAGCTGATGGAACATTAGTGCAGGATGATAATGGTATTAAAGATCTGTTATTACAACATTACACTTCTCTGTGCTCTTCTAGAGAGCACGTTAATTCTCCTGATGCTGCCTTCATTAGAAGAACTCTTCTTGGGGAAGTTGCTGACAGCTTGGAAGCCAATATTTCTAGGGATGAAATAAAAGCGTCAATTCACAGTATGGGATTGGATACAGCCCCGGGGCCTGATGGTTTTACTGTGAGGTTTTTCAGGGAGTACTGGGGCATTGTTGGTGAAGATATTAATTCTGCTGTGTTGCATTTTTTTTCAATGCTCAGTTATGGATAAAGGGCTTAACAGCACCTTCATTACTCTTATTCCTAAGATAAAGGTAGCAAACAAGATTGGGGACTTTAGGCCTATTGCTCTTTGCAATGTCATCTATAAGATCATTACCAAATTGTTGGCTAATAGATTGAGTGTTGTTCTTGATCAAATTGTGGGTAAGGAACAAAATGCTTTTGTCAGTGGTAGGAAAATTCAAGATAATCTCATCATTGCTTCTGAATTATTGAGAGGCTTTGGAGCTAAGCATACTCCTCCTACTTTAGCTTGGAAGGTGGATCTTCGAAAGGCTTATGACTCAGTTCAATGGGAGTTTCTGTTTAGTCTTCTACAGCTCTATGGCTTCAGAAATAAATGGATTGGTTGGGTTAAAGCAGCAGTGACAACTGTTCGATTTTCTATCATGGTGAATGGAAGTCCACATGGTTTCTTTCAACCTTCAAGAGGCCTTAGACAAGGTTGTCCACTTTCCCTTTGCTCTTCACTTTGGTCACTGAATATCTATCTTCAATGTTTGAATTTGAGTGTCTAAAGTGGAACTTAGTTGCTTCTCCTGCTGCTGTCAAGGCAAATTGTTTGGCCACTCACCTATTTTTTGCTGATGACTTACTTGTGGTTGTGAGAGCTAATATGGCTTCAGTATTCACTTTGCGAAGGATGACGAAACATTTTGAAGAAGTCTCTGGCCTGGCAGTTAATAAAGAAAAATCAGAAGTATATTTTACAAGGTCTGTTAAGAGGAAGAATACTGTGCTGAGAATTTTGGGATGCAGGCAGGGGTCTCTCCCTTTTACTTATTTAGGCCTTCCTATTTCTGACACAGGAATTAGGAGGTTGGATTGTAAACCTTTGATGGATAAGGTTGTTGCTGCAACTACAAGATGGGCTGGTATGAACCTTTCAATGGCAGGTCGCATTGAGTTATTAAGGGCTGTGGTTACTCCTATGGTTTTATACTGGTCTTCAGTTTACAGTATTCCTGCTGCTGTCATTAACTTAATTGAAAGAAGGATGAGAAATTTTGCTTGGGGGCATAATGAGATCAACTTCAAGCTGCATAGCATGTGTTGGAAAAGAGTCACTTCTCCAAAAAACAGAAGGAGGTTTTGGTTTAAGGCAAATTAGTGACATTGATAAAGCTGCAAAGTGTTCTTTAGCCTGGGACTTCCTTCTTTCGAAGGATAGGTTGTGGGTAGCATGGTTCAACAAACGCTATTTAACTGATGCTTCCTACTGGTCTGTTATTCCAAAGGTTAATCATTCATCCATTTGGAAGAGCATTGTATCAGTCAGAGATACTCTTAAGGTGCAATGATCTTATCGCATTGGCAATGGTGATAAGATTAAAACTTTTATGGATCCATGGTGTGGGGGTCAATTTTTATCAGAGGTTCTCAGTTATAGAACCTTGAGACAGGTATCCTCTAATAAGCAGATTGACTTGAGCAGTTTCATCGTTCAAAATCAGTGGCAGTTCGATGATGTTCCATTTGTTGTTCAACAATATTTCCAACAATTCAGGATTCATGGTGGTGAGGACCAGTTATTGTGGAACAATAAATCTTTTACATTCAAAGCTGCTTGGGACTCTTGCAGGGATTCAAAACCTGAAGTTTCTTGGTTTGGTTTGGAATGGGGGTAGACCTCGATGGTCTGTGTATAGTGCTTTGATTATTCAAAATGCTGTCCTAACAGGTGCTAATTTGCAGCGTAGAGGAATCTCTTTAGCTTCCAGATGTGGCTTGTGTGGCTGCAATGAAGAACATGTTGATCACATGTTTGTGAAATGGTGTATGCTTGGGAGGTCTGGTGTGGCTTGGCTGGTATATTTCATTGGAGTGTTCAAAAGCTGAACTCTGTTAGCTCCTTCGCTACTGACCTGCAAACTCAATTTTACATTAAATCTTGCAGGAACAAAGTGCATAAGATGTTGTTTACAGCTTCTATGTATTATTTATGGAATGAACGGAATGATAGACTTCATACTGATGTTATTCGATCTCCTTCATTCCTAGTCAAATGCATTGTTTGGGATGCTCTTGATATTGCTGGAATTAGTCTTCAAGATTTTTTAAGTTCATAGGAGTTTAAGGTTG